ATGGATGTTGGTTCTACCAATCCAGTGGAAAGACCTCAAAGAAGATACTATATGGATTATAAATTTAAAGTCATTGTCTTTTCTTTTTTTTTTATTTAGATATAATGGAAAATATAGACATATATTTTTAAGAAGTGTGGGCAGTGAATCAAAGATGTTAAGAAATGTTGTCTATGGCAATTTTGTATGATAGTGGGTGAATAAGCTATTTAGTAGATTGATTAGTCTAAGAAAAGGGATTTTTAAGTGTTATATTTAGGGGAGTGGAGGAAATGGATAGAGTGGAATAAATGTTAAACTAGATTTTATGGGGAAGGCCGCTTTGGAATGTTATAGTAATATATATAGAAGATTAAATGTTAAAGTAGGACTTATCGTATAGTTTTAAAGTGGAGAAGTTATTTTATAATGTCATAGTATAATGTCTTTTTTTTTTCCTTTCTTTTCTCTTTTTTGATATGTATGGATAAAGGGGGATGTTATAATATTAATAATATTTTTAGTAAGTAAAGGTCAATATCTAGAGGAGGGAGTAAGTAATCTGTTATGAATTAGGTTTTTTTTTTGTTATGAAGAAGTCACAGGGGGGGATGGGTGGGGAGGGGGGGTTAGGGAGGGGGAGGGAGAGGGGGAAAAAAAGGGGGGGGAAATTTGTATTTGAAAACTTTTTCAATAAAAAAAAAACCAACTCTTAATGCCCTTTTGGCAATGCTGTTACAGTGAGCTCTGGCACTTAGATAGTTTGAGATGAATACTCCAAGGTCCTTGACAGAGTGAGGGTCATCTACAAGGTGGTATCCACCCATCTTGTATTTAGTGTTCTGATTTTTGTTGCCAATGTGTAAGACAGAGTATTTGTTGGTTGAGGCTGATGTTATCTGTCACATTTCACTGAAGCCTGGTTGTGCCCTAAGAGGTAGAAGCTCCTTCTTGGTTGGAAATGTTCCCACCCCAGTTTGTAGTTATGATCCAGGGAATAGCCCAGGGAGAATAAACAGAGATGTTTATGGACTTGCTATCTCTATAATTGGCTCAACAGTCAAAGCAGCCCACGTCTACCTCAATATTAGAAAATTGGCCTGTTTAGTAATGAAAAGTATGAATTACTCTGCCAGGGCAATGCTTAGTAGGAATTTTTAGTTATTATTTCCAGGAGACTGTAAAGTTAAATCTGGTTCTCTTGTGAGATACATATGGTGATCTTCTTGAGGTCAAAATGGGGGGAAAGGATTGTGGGAAAAATCACTTCTTAGATGAGTGGAATTAATTAAATCAACTTGATATAAAATGATATAAGGCCAAAAATTGTTATCTCATTGCAACAATCGACAATTGACATCCATTACCTGTGAATATGTACACTTACATTATTTATTACTTATGCATTAGTCTCTCCTGCCATTTTGAGATGCAGAAATATGAGTGCATCTCTTTGTTGTGAGGGCAATGTCTCTCAATATTATTTCAGGGACACCCACCAGGACATGTTATAAAACACTGCAGAAAGAGTTCAATGCTTGCTTTGGGTCCTGTATTTGATTCTGAATTCTGAAAGGACCATGAAGAAGATGAGGTTGAGACCCTCCTAATTAACTTTGAAGATATCTACCAAGGTTAAAGCAGTCCAAAGCCCAGGATATGTTTCTTATCAGTAGTGGGATTCAAATCCCGTCGCTACCAGATTGCTCAGGGGTGTGCACACGCTCATATGTGCAATGCTTCTGCACATGCGCAGAGCTGTCCAGGCGGGTGGGCGGAGCCTCCCACCACCACCATTACCAGTTTGCCCGATCTGGGGTGAACTGATAGCAACCTACCACTGGTTCATATGTGTCCTCTCTTCTAGGGTTGCATAAGGCAAATATTGACTAACCTGTGTGCTGACAAAAAGGAGGGCTACTGTAAGGTCTTGCCTCTCCAATCTTCCCAAGAAAGCAAGACTCTTGAAACTGCAGTTGTTCCCAAAGGAGCTTTTATTGAAAGGTTTGTGATAACAAGAGATCTAGGAAAGAACTGAAGCTTCTCATTTAAAACCAGCTATTTAATGCAATGCTAACCAAACCCCTCCTACACTACATTATTGCAGGCAAACAAAAACAGAAACTTCATATAGAGATTAACACAGTAATGCAAGAAACAGAAATAGAAACTTCATACAGAGATTAGCACAGTAATGCAGGGAACAGAAACAGAAACTTCATATACAGATCACTCCATTCCTCCCACCAAAATGCCAGCATCTCTGTAGAAATATCTGGGACCTGACAGCTACCAACAGTTTAAAAACATGAATATTGACTTCCTGTTGGCTCCGCGAGCTTTGAAGACGCTCTTTTATGAGTGCCTGATCTCTGGTTCCATAAAAGCCCCAGAACAGCCGAAAAACAGCTGTCTGGAGGCTTGGAACCCTCTCCCCGGGCAAAGGGGAGAGAGAAGAGTCGACAGGCGGAGGTAGAGCCCCCCAAGTGCGCTAGGAGAAATCCTGGAGCGCAAAGGGTGTGGGCTCCCTATTGAAGCCTGTCAAGCTGCTCCGGACCAGAGACGACGACGCCAAAGCGGAGCTAAAAGCTGTGACAAAAATCTGCTGAAAATCAACGAGGGGACTTTTAACATCTTTACTTTGATCGCAGACAGAGCAAATCAGGAAAAAACAAAAAGGGAAACTTGCAACACTTTAACTCCGTTTTAAAATGCAGAAAATGGCGCCTGAGGGCAGGAGGAGGAAACTACCAGGGAAAGTGCTCGTTAAGGCTTGTTAATGTTTGCAACAGTGATACAGCTACTGGATTACACCTTAAGAGAAAGTTTTAAAGTGGAAGCGTCCAGGAAAAGAATTTGGTATTGAGGGAAAGAATTTGGTACTGACTTTAACTAAAATCTTGTTTTTATACTGTATGGAAAAGAGTTGAATTGTTGTCCTGATAGCTGGACAGCCACAAAGTGGCTGAAATATGGCTGACAATAGGGCTGGTGAATCAGCAAATTTGCAAGCCATGACTGTTCAGGCTTTTCAAGAATTTCTAGACTCTTTTACTTCTGCCCTGTTGGATACAATTGAAAGGGCTTTTTCAAAAAATAGCTTGGGAAAATATAAGCAGTTGTTAGAGGGACAGCAGGAAATTATCCAGAGGAATTTGTTTTTGGAAGATCAAGAGATGATCAGGATTAAAAGACAGACTGGCAAAGTTGAAACAAAGGTTTTAGTGGACGTTTCCATTCAATTGACAGAAAAGCAACAAATAGTCTCTTTATTGCAAGTTGACAATCTTTATGGCAACAAATTCTGGATATATGGACAAAGAAAAGGACTGAATGATTATATAAGCAAGAAGAGACAGAATGGGGATTTCAAGTTAGAAAACGCGACCTCAAGAAGAGAGCGAGTATTTCAGAAACATCAACCTCAAATCACCATTTTAAAAGTTTCAAAAATAAAATTGGGGGGACTGTTGAAAGAATTTATTTAAAAAAGGATTGGAAAAAATATAGAAAGAAGAGAAGAACAGAAGATTAAGAAAGATATCTTCCTGTGGATTTTGAAATTGGCATCGGGCAAATATGTGTTTTAATGGTATTAAGAGATTTTTAAAATGTTTAACATAAGATTATATTATTTTAAAAGATATATGAGATAAATTGTATAAGCTTTTAAGATGCCTAACCTTTTGAAGGGAAGGGGATTAATGTTAAATTCAGAGTTTTATTGCAAAATAATAATTAGTTTTGGATAATAAAAGGGCTGCTTTCTAAAAAGTTAGAGGTATTAAGACGGTTAATTGAAAATTTGAAAGACATCCTCCTGTAGATTTTGAAATTTATATTTGGTAAATTAGTGTTTTAAAAGTATTAAGAGATTTTTAAAATGTTTAACATAAGACTATATTATTTTAAAAGATATATGAGATAAAATGTGTAAGATTTTAAGATGAAAAATTTTTCCTTTTTTTTTTTCTTTGAAGGAAAGAGGATTAATGTTAAACTCAGAATCTCACTAGGGAGTAATGTTTTAAAAGAATGATGTTCAAGGGTATAGAAATGGAATTTATTCATGATTTTTACTGTTTGTAAAATTGCTAAAGTATCGGATTATACATCAAGAAAAAGTTTTTTTTATAAGTAGGAAGAATGAATTTAATTTAATTGGTTTTGAGAATTTATAAAAGGGAGGTTGATGAATTGGAGCAAGGGGAGTTAAAGAACATATGGGAGTTTTGAACTTTATAATTAGTTAGTTCATTTTAGCATATGTTTGTTAGATGCTATACCCTGTTTTTGCTCTGGGAAGTCAGGGGGGGTGGGGAGGGTGGGACAAGGGATGGAGGGGGGAAGTGGTGAATAGAGAAAGTTTTAGAAGAAGAAAGTATCTACGAGTAGAATACAGGAGTTGCTCAGACACTAAAGGAGGAAAATATCTCATGGCAAAGAAGGGGTAGGAAGAGGAGAGGAAGGGTGAGGAATGGAAGAAAGGAAAGGAGGAAGGGAAGGGAAGAGGACAGGTGTAGGAGTGAAGGTGAGAAGGGGGAAAAGAAGAGAGAAGTGGGGGAAAGGAAAAAGAAATAGGATGAGGTGGGAGAGGAGGCAGGTGAAAGTAGGAGAGAAGAGGAGGGAGGGAAGGGAAAGAAAGGAGGAGAAGAAGAAGGTTTGCTGTGGAATGAGGGAAGAAAGAGAAGAAGAGCAACTCCGAATGTAATTAAAATGTCTTATTTTAATGCTTTCTTTTGTATAAGAAAATGTACAATTTCTATTATGTGGGGAAGGGGAAAGGGTGGGGGAGAAAATTGTTTATATTTCTTATAAAACTTTTCAATAAAAAAACCATGAATATTAACTATGAATGTATTTTATTATTTAGTGTTTATCTTGGATTTTAATTTCATTAATCTAACTATTTTTTTGGTTTTAAATAACCAAATTGTCAAATAGAGGGAAACAAAGCATAAAAACCAATAAAAATTGCAATCAATAATTAAATATTATGATCCTAGGAAACAATTTAATTATCAGTCCCCTACTTTTATCACTAGATGTTCCTTAGTGTTTAGCTCTGGTCTAAGGATAATAATGTAGCACTTGGGGAAGAAGATGCATCCCAGTAGTCCAGCACTGGAGGCCAAAATGGAGAAGACCTGCACAGCCACCATGGACTTTCCTTTGGTGCTCAGGTAGGTGGGCAGGAAAGAGACCCAGACGCTGCAGAAGACCAGCATGCTGAAAGTTATCAGTTTGGCTTCGTTGAAGGCCCCAGGCAGGTTCCTGGCCAAGAAAGCCACTATGAAGCAAATGACAGCAAGGAAACCCATGTAGCTTAAGACAATGTAAAACATGGTAGCAGAGCCTTCATTGCATTGAAGGATGATCTCTCCAGGCTGGGAGTGAATGTCAGAATCAGGGAATGGGGGAGATACTCCCAGCCACATGACACAGATGAAAATTTGGACAGCAGAACAAGAAAGTATGATGGAGTTGGTCAAAGTCTTCCCCAACCACCTTCTCATCCTGTTTCCTGGTTTTGAGGCCAGGAATGCCAGCACCACTGTGATTGTTTTGGCCAACACAGAAGACACAGCTACTGAGAAGACAATGCTGAACACTGTTTGTCGGAGAAGACAGGTGGCTTTCCTTGGCTGGCCAATGAAGAGAAAGGAGGATAAAAAACAAAGCAGGAGGGATATCAGGAGGATGAAGGAGAGGTCTCGATTGTTGGCTTTGACAATGGGAGTTTCTAGGTATTGAAGGAATATGAGTAAAACAAGAGTTGTGGTTAGGAACAAGAGTAGGGCAGAGGAGATTAGGATGATACCCAAATGTTCTTCATAGGACAGGAAGGTTATTCTTTTGGGGATACATTGGATTTGGTTCCTGTTTGGATATTGATCATCTGGGCACTTGGTGCATTTTTCCATATCTGTGAAAACAAAGTAACATTTCTTTTATAGTCTTTAAAATTTCAACAAAACCTTTGGATGAGATGTGATACTGAGAGACAGGAAAGCCTCGGTAAATTCTCACTCCTGCAAATAATATTCCCCAATATATACAATTATAAAAGCAACAACAACAAAATAAAATTAAAAGAACAAATATCTGGCATCACAACCTCACTTCTCTGATTCTTATCTTGCATTGACCTTCATTATCCCAAATGCCTGGGAGAAGTAGCAAGTCTCCAGGCTTTCATTTGTTCCTTGAAATGAACTTCTCTCCCTCCATTGTTCTTCTCAATTAGATATTTCAGCTTATAAAAATTCACGATCTTCATAAATATTGTCTGATTAAACAAATTGATTGGTGTAGTTTTGGGCTTTTAATGTTAAGTTGGTTTGAGTGAACAAAATCCATTGATCTAAAATTGTCCCTCAAGTTACAAAGAATTTACATGTTCCTAAGAAAGATAAATATGGGAGGACACATCCAAACTGGCAAATAAAAGAGAAGTTTCCTGCTCACGACATCCTTCTTCCTACCTCATCCTTCAAGATATTTTTCTCTTCCCATTGTGGAAGAAATTGGACACAATGAAAATAAAAAAAACAAAAACCATCAAATGTATATGTGTCTTTAAGATGCATATTGATCAAAGCGCTCTGGGTGAACCCAGTAAGTTTCCCTATGGTGTCACCCACCTTTCTGAATGGAGATAGTTCCCTCTGGACAAGGAACACAGTCATAGCAGCAAATTGGCTCTCCTTCTCGAGCCTTTTTGACAAATCCAGGCTGGCATTTTTCCACACATTTGGACTGAGGCAGAGACTAAGAAGAAAAAGAAGAAATGGCAAGGAAAATATGTTGAGACTCATTATCTACTGTATGTAAGATGGAGGTAGATATGAACATTAGCCAAGTAGTCTCTGGGTTTCACATACACAAATATGAAATCTCTGAATACTTCCAAATGGTTACAGGAGATACAATTGCAGGCAGATGCCTCATTGGTTCACTGAGGAGCTGAGGGAGTTGAAGCGCCAGAAAAGACGCCTAGAGAGTAGTTGGAGGGCCAGTCTTTCTGAATCTGACCGGACACTGGTAAGAGCTCATATTAGGAATTACCTAGTGGCGATAAAAGCAGCGAAATGTAGCTATTTTGCTGCTCTTATTGCATCATCAGATAATCGCCCGGCCGCCCTGTTTAGGGTGACCCGCTCCCTGCTCCACCAGGAAGTGCGGGAGGACCCCTTGGAGGGTAGAGCCGAGGATTTTGTCCAATATCTGTATGACAAAATCGCTCAGATTCGGGAAGATCTGGACTCCGACTGGATAGTCTCAGGGGGAGGGACTGGGGCAGGTCTTGAGAATGTTATCTGGGATGAGTTTGATCCTGTGACCCCTGAGAACGTGGACAGGATTCTGGGTAGACTGAACGCGACCACTTGTTTATTGGACCCGTGTCCCTCCTGGTTAGTGCTGGCTTCTCGGGAGGTGACACGAGGCTGGTTCCAGGGGATTATAAATGCTTCGCTGGGTGAGGGTGTCTTTCCTGCTGCCTTGAAAGAGGCGGTGGTGAGGCCTCTCCTCAAGAAGCCTTCCCTGGACCCGGCAATGTTGGTAAATTATCGTCCGGTCTCCAACCTTCGTTTTGTGGCAAAGGTTGTTGAGAGTATGGTTGCGCAACAGCTTCCCCAGCACCTGGATGAAACGACGTATCTGGATCCGTTCCAGTCGGGCTTCAGGCCCGGGTACAGCACGGAAACGGCATTGGTCGCGTTGGTTGATGATCTCTGGAGGGCTCGGGACGGGGGGTGCTCCTCTGTCCTGGTCCTGTTAGATCTCTCAGCGGCTTTTGATACCATCGACCATGGTATCATGCTGCACCGGTTGGAAGAGTTAGGGGTGGGAGGCACTGTGTTGCGGTGGTTCTCCTCCTTTCTCTCTGACCGGTCGCAGTCCGTGTTGACAGGGGGACAGAGGTCGACCCCGAGGCCCCTCATATGTGGGGTGCCACAAGGGTCGGTCCTCTCACCTCTCCTGTTCAACATTTATGTGAAGCCGCTGGGCGAGATCATCCGTGGTTTCGGGGTGGAGTACCATCAGTACGCTGATGACACCCAGCTGTACATCTCCACCCCGGATCACCCCAACGATGCCCTTGAAGTGATGTCCCGGTGCCTGGAGGCCGTACGGATCTGGATGGGGAGGAACAGGCTCAGGCTCAACCCATCCAAGACCGAGTGGCTGTGGTTTCCGACGTCCCGATATAGCCAGTTGACGCCATCACTGACTATTGGGGGCGAATCATTGGCCCCCACGGAGAGGGCTCGCAACTTGGGCGTCCTCCTGGATTCACGGCTGTCTTTAGAAGAGCACTTGACGGCCGTGACCGGGAGGATTTTTTATCAGGTCCGCCTGATTCGCCAGTTGCGTCCCTTTCTGGATCGGGACTCGTTACGCACGGTCACTCATGCCCTCGTCACCTCCCGCCTGGACTATTGTAATGCTCTCTACATGGGGCTCCCCTTGAGGAGCACCCGGAGGCTCCAACTGGCGCAGAGTGCGGCTGCGCGGGTGGTAATGGGAGCGACATGGCGCTCCCATGTAACACCTCTCCTGCGCGAGCTGCACTGGCTCCCGGTGGTCTTCCGGGTGCGCTTCAAGGTTTTGGTTACCACCTTTAAAGTGCTCCATGGCTTAGGGCCTGGTTATTTACGGGACCGCCTACTACCACCAATAGCCTCCCACCGGCCAGTACGCTCTCATAGAGAGGGAGTCCTCCGGGTGCCGTCAGCCAAACAGTGTCGACTGGCGGCCCCTAGGGGGAGAGCCTTCTCTGTGGGGGCACCTACCATCTGGAATGAGCTCCCCCCGGAGATACGGAGGATCCCGGATCTGCGCTCCTTCCGCTGTGCTGTGAAGACCTTTTTATTCCATCAAGCGGGCTTGGCCTGATCTCTTCCCTTTTTAAAACATGTAAATTTTAATCTGTTTTTAAATTATTGGGGTATTTTAATTTGTCTGGGCCAAAAAGTTTAATTTGATTTTATCGGGTTTTTAAATTTTGTGTATTTATGTATTTTATTGTTGGCTGTTCACCGCCCTGAGTCCTTCGGGAGTAGGGCGGTATACAAATCAAATAAATAAATAAATAAATAAAAAATTTAATTCCTCCTTTTTTCTTGGGGCATAAAGGTAAAGGTAAAGATTCCCCTCGCACATATGTGCTAGTTGTTCCCGACTCTAGGGGACAGTGCTCATCTCCGTTTCAAAGCCGAAGAGCCAGCACTGTCCAAAGACATCTCCGTGGTCATGTGGCTGGCATGACTAAATACCAAAGGTACATGGAATGCTGTTACCTTCTCACCAAAGGTGGTCCCTATTTTTCTACTTGCATTTTTTTACATGCTATCAAACTACTAGGTTGGCAGAAGCTGGGACAAGTAACAGGAGCTCACCCCGTTACGCGGCACTAGAGATTCAAACCACTGAACTGCTAACCTTTCGATCAACAAGCTCAGCATCTTAGCCACTGAACCACCGCATCCCTTCTTGGCGTATATCAGATTGCAAAAAAGTACATTTCTACTTAATAAAGTCTGGAAAGATGAAACTGAGAAAAGATTTAAGCATCAAGTGACACCTGGAGGTTCCACCTCACAGTGGAATTAACATAGCATTCCTCTATTTTTCATATAGGCATGATTTTAAAATAAGATATTCACTCATAATAAATTTTACTGTAAAAGATTTATTAAAATTTTATTCCATTAAATTTGTTAGAATAAAACTGTGATGAAGACAGAAACTTCTGACCAGTAGGATCTGGAAAGGTTCCTTCTGGAGTACATTGCAAAGCTGCTTCTCTTTGAAAGAATATATCTATCATCCATTCATCCATCCATCCATCCATCCATCCATCCATCCATCCATCCATCCACCCACCCACCCACGTATCATCTATCATCTATCATCTATCATCTATCATCTATCATCTATCATCTATCATCTATCAATCATCTATCATCTATCAATCATCTATCTATCTATCTATCTATCTATCTATCTATCTATCTATCTATCTATCTATCTATCTATCTATCATCTCCCAGTTAATATGCAGAGAAATAATGGCTGTCAACCTTAAAGGAAATGTATAGTTAGGAGAGATGGAAATGAGGTCATGAAAACATGTCCCTCAAAAAGCGTGAATCAGGCATCTTTTGTTGCAGCACATGGCACATGAGTATATGAGCCCTATGTGGGAAAGAGATATCTAACACAAGGTACCCAACATGAGGTCCTTTCTGTTGAAAGACTACAATGAGATGACACAAACTCACAGGGAAATAGATACTCATATTTATTATTGGCTTGATTTGCTGCCTCCCCAAGTGTTTTAAGATAGCTAACAATCAAGATAAACAATTGGATTCAAGGGATTTTCAGATGAAGTGCACGCTTACAAGCCAATCCCCAAATCTAAGTAATATTTCCCTCAAATTTGTCCCTTATTACTTCTGATATCAGAAATTGCTTTTCTTTGCATCAAAATCATGCTTTAGTGTTTCAGTTTTCAAGCCATTATCATGGTGAGATGGGCAGCAAATAAATTTAATTAATAAAGAAATAAGCTCACATCAGACCAATTATTATTATTTCATGTGAACTGAAAGCCTTGGACCTCCTTCCTAAATTCCACTATCCCAGCTGGGTTAAAGAGATGCATGTATAACTATAGTCTCAGATGACTAAAAACATTGCAGACTATGGACCTGCAATTTTAGGAGATCCTAAATTAATTGCAGAAGAGCGATTAAATGGCAACAATTTGTGTCCTAAATAATAATCAAACCAAATCTCAATTTGGATATACCTGAATCAGCTTACAACATGGTCAGCATGATAGCATCTGAAGGATACCTTGGGCAATAGAACTGAAGCCTCCTTATCTGTCTAAGAAAATTATGGAAGTTTT